ACAGCGTATCGGAATAAAGAAAAGAGCCACATAATGTATAGACTAAATCCATTGGGAAACTACTCAAGACTAGGGTATATGCACCATACCGATCTAAACGGTCGAAAAGGAATTTCAGTGCTCTACAACATAAGCGATCAAGAAATCGAGTTGCTGCAGTGATAGCCAATCTAATGATCAATAGGTTCATTCCCAGCTGTCAATTCATATGAATGCACTCTTGAACGTTACAGCACCCAACACCCGATAAGCATAACAAACATATTCCCAGCAAACGGTAACCGGGCGAGCGCATCACATAACCAAATGGAGGTGGCTTCTTCAGTCCAATTTGCAAGACTGAATGAAAATTTAACTATCGTTACATAGAAATCACCTGCAAACACCAACCCTGTGAGCAACCTCATGTCCCCCCTACCCCATGACACGAACGGTGGGAGAAGGCAACAGTAGTAACAGACCGCGCGACATAAATCAAGGCTCATCTTAACAGAAAACGGTGCTCCTAACAGTCCTGTATAGATGATCAATGAAACCAAAAGGCTAAAGAGACGCCCAAGAGACTTAGTTCTGGATCTTACGATAAAAGAACTAATTTCAATAGTGGCATGCTGGCCGCGACAAAAATAGGTGAACCGATCAACAAACTCCAATTCAAGAATGTCTACATCGAAAGTAAGCGACAAGAGTTCCTGCAACAGTTTCAGGACGCGAGGTGCAGATTAAAGTATGTGATCTCACGAAGTTATCAAGGCTTGACAGTGGCGCAGCACGACTATCAAACTAGGGCGTATCGTCGTCCATACAATCCACATAAACCAGTTTTATCACGGTGGGAAAGCAATATCTCAGTCGTAAAACTTAACAATCGGACAATCTGCAAAATATGGAGTAACAATGGGGAAACAAGTCGACCATGGCAAACACCACCTGTTAATCGGTAAACCAGCGTAGACCATGTAACGACATAAGGTAAGTGCTTATATTGTATGCAAGCCACTCGAATGATTCAATAGTTAACGATAACGGAGAAATAGACGGAACAGAACGATCGGTGGAGTCGAAGGTGTTAGTTAAACGTTGTGATAGCCAAATTTGAACGGTGGTATGCATTACATCGGTGCAATAACTGTAACAACAAGTAGGTGACCAAGGTAGCCTCGATGCGGCGACAGAACAACCTGTTCTCTTAGTATGCAAGTTCCGCGCACCGCAACAATGCGATGGAGGAGAATGGAGACCAGTGCATTCGTTGCTGCCAGCCTCGAGAATGTCGGTGGCCGAGTGGTTTAGGCGATTGGTCAGTAACTGGCAGATAACTGACTGGAGCTTGTGCAGTACAGACGACCCGCGTGGTAGCGGAGAGTCGGGAGGAGTCACAACCGCACGACTGATGCTCTTGGCTTCAAGCCCCTGTGTGGTTGCACAAACGTTGTAGTGATCTTGCAGGAACTGTGCTGTTAGGATGATTTAAAGCAGTTTGATTGAAGGGCGATTTCTTCAACACATGTTCGGACAAGTGATTAATTATACCATAGGATATTACCAAAGTACACAACGCGGGAACAGAGAGATCCGTGCCAGTGATACGAAAGCTGTTGTGAAATGAGAACGCATACTAACTGTCCAAGGGTTATAACACAAAGAAAGAAAATGTTCGCATATGTTATAAAGCACGGCTAATTAGAATGTCAGAGAGGATGTGATATACTCAAACAATGCATGGTAAAAGAAACCCTGCAGAGGTAAACGCGGCAAACCAAGAAAAAGAAGCGCACGAGGTGCGTGTGAGAGAGATGGAGACGATGCAAGAACGAAGCATAGTGATTACAAAATGCGCCGTTGCATAGTAAGTTTAGTGGAGAATAACTGTTCGTTAACCATCATCATCATCATTATCAGTATACACTTTGCTAGAGGTGAAAAAACACCTCGTGCCGCAATACATGAGGAACTAAAAAAACATGTAACAGATGCACACCAGCTGAGCTAATAGGAACGGATGGGCATCGCTCCGGTAAGCTACCAGCCGGTATGGTGCCTCAAAAATTATATTATACTAGGAAATGAGATGGTATTGGAGGGGTAGCCTAAGCAAGATGAGGAGGAACAAAGAAACGCACCACACAAACACCACTGAATTCGGCTGCTAGCCATGTCAATGGCGGAGCTGTACGCTATCGGGCGCGTCCCCAGGTTGCGGATCGGGGAATGCCTTCCTTGTGGAGGTAACTTGGAATAAGTCTCGTTTGTTTTACAGGCGAGATGAATAAGCAGTCGCGGACAATCAGTGGCAGCATCTAAGAGCGTATGAAGTTCTGGTCTGGTCACCTGGTTCTCCATTAAATACCACAAGTGCTAGTACGGCGCTGTGTCAAAGACAATGTAACCGGCTATAGGGTCACTGACCACTCACTCCTGTAACGGGGGGTTAGTATCTAACGGAGGGCGGATGAACAACCTCGCTGGTCACCGGCTTCTCTGTGGACTGCTTCCGAACACAAAATGGCGAATGAGCCACTTGGCTGTCAACTGTCTTCGTGAATCACCGCGCTGCCTTGCGGGTCAGGTTTTTAGACCAAAGGCTAGGGGTGGGGTCCCTTAAGTCAACCCTCTTCCTCGTTCTGGGAAATCGGGTAGCTCAATTCCCACACAACACATGGAACTTTGCTTCCAGTCCTCTTACTCACTCTTTTTTGTTATTGTTATTCATGTGTTGTGGCACTCCGCCGAATGTTTATTGGGCAAGTGTTATAAACAATTAAATACATGTCAATAAGTATATCCAGCTAAACGTGTTTACCGTCTTTCGGACTCCAACCACGGAGCCGATAGCCTTCAACCGAAGTCAACCTCGAAGTAAGGGCCTTCATTCCACTTGACCAAGTCATCGGTTGGCCGCCTCTCCGCCTCTTCCATCCAAAACTCCAGCACATAAACAACACACGTGGCAGGAGTCGGTAGGCTGGAGTGCGCAATATGTGCCCCAGCCGTCGGAGCCTGGTGCGTGATATACCGGTGTGGAGCGGTTCACTTCCTCCGCTTGTACCAAAAGCAAAGCGCCAAACACGCTCGTTGCTCACGCGGTTTCCACCAGACATGAGCTACGCTGCGAAGACAGCGATTGTCGAACGTAACCAGCCTGTTTACGTCTGCCGATCTAATGGGTTAGGTTTCACAACCGTAAAACCCTACGTACAGAGAATGATGTCGTGTCGGCGTCATAGATGGCGAAGATTAACAAAAGCGCTTCGTGCTTTTGCTATACGGTTGGTGAGTTCGTCTTCGATTCCACAGGAGCTGATGCAACTTCCCAGGTAGTTGAATGTTTGAACGGTTTCTAGCTGATCCCCACCAAGAGTCAGCGCAAGAGGCGGTTCCTGTCAAATCTGGAGGAAAGCTTTGCACTTCGAGCGTGCAAACCAAAGCTCGAAACGGTTGATAGCCAGTGTTAATCTGTCTGTTGGGTGTTTTTGAGCTGTCACAGGTGAGAGTAATGTTGTCAGCACACTAAAAAATCAAGAAGTCGTTCCCCTGGGAGTAGATCCACACCTACGTCGTGTCCTGTGAACGCGATCTCCATTACTTGGTCAATAGCGAAATTGAAAAGGTGACAGCGGGCATCCTTGTCATATCGCTGGAGACATGTTAGGGCGATTACAGGTTGCCGTAAACCCTCACTATGTCCGAATTACGCGTGCATAGCGCACGGAAAATGGTTGCATGTTGTTCGGGCACATTTTTCCTGAGTGGACAGTCCCAAAGGGCACATCAATCCACTGAATCGAAGGCACTTTTGATGCAAACGCGCAGCGCCACTTCTGCCCTGTCGAAAAACTCATGTCCAACAAAGCGGTCAAGCCCAGTTCATCAGAATCTGTTTGGAACTCTCGATCCCTCCTCAGATTGGCATGGCTCAACGTGGCACATCGTTACATGGGGTTAAACAAGCAGCACTTGCCCGAACAGTAGAAACCCTCTCGATCGATATTAGCTGCTTATCGGAAACCCGCCTGCAAGACACGAACTATACGCTCGATTTGCAATCCCCTTCAGAGGAGACTAGCTATGTTTTCTCATTGCGGTTTCTCACGCCAACATGGCCGCTATTTATGTGTTCGACTAAGACAAGAGGCAGTGCATATCCTGCTGCCTAAACAAATTCACCTGTGGCTGCGGAGAGAGGTATATCGGGCGATATGACCGATGTTTTGAGGTCAAAATCAGTGAACACATTCCCAAGTGGTTACGCAGCCGGATGAGATCAGTGAAGGCGGAACCGAGTGAATCGATAAAACGAACTGCCTCGGCAATCACAAGTCATCTGCTAAGCACCGCAATGATGTGCAAGCAGCGTCCCTAGAAGCTCATGCAAATGGAAGCCACTGTCATCGATCGGGAGCTGTTAGTGCTGTGCGTGCAAAAACGGCTGACTGTGCATATGAAGCAACTACGGTGGCCAACAACTAGTTAGTCATGGATCTCATATGACCGCGCTTTGTACAGCAATTACTTTGCATGCTTGTGAATGAGATATATGCACGAGATGTCTGGGTCACCCAATGGATTACGTCTGCTGATCTTCATGTTTGAAAGTAAAAGGAGGACTTCTTGTTTCTAATCCTAATTCCATGTGTAGTGCACAAGCAATAGAATTCCCCAGCTTATAGCCTTCAGAAGATGAACAAGGGTCATTACTTAAAACGCCCTCGTCCAAATGGATTAATCAGTAGTAATTGTCATAGTAGACGGTAACCTAACGTGCACTCATAATACAAGGATGAACTATTGGTAATAACAATGTTCACCGAAATAAGAAAGCAGGGTGTAGGACAAGGCGAATGTCTCACTGACAATGGATGATCTGCTGGGAAGGAGAATATCTTAGAGATAAAAAGGCAAAACAAGGCGTTGCTAAGATGAGGAAAAGACAAAGAAAAACGTTTACAGATGGCGGCGTTGAATCGGGGTTCGCAAGTAAAAATATAAAAAACACTGACCAATGACATGGGGTACCGGATAATCTTCTCCTCTTTTTCGATCTGCATCTCACCCAAGGACACGTACAAATGTTCCCGTAAAACCTTAACTGCCTCGTGTATTGGCTCTGGAAGCCCAATCAAAGAGGTTGTGTCATTGGGAACCTGGAACTTCAGGAATTTCAAACGGACGTTGTTCAGAAAGGTCTGCACCGAGAGAAGCAAAAAATAACACCGCGTCAAGAACTGGAAACCGAAAAAGTAGAAAGCAAAGCAAACCACGAGGTCATTCCTGCAAAAAAGCAAGCTGGGCAGTCCAGTGGAAGCTAAGTGGGCCGTCAGCAATTCTTTCAGTTTCAAGACGTAACTGCATACTCACAAGAGCAAAACATGGGATTGGAAAAGAAAACTGCTCAAATTGGAATCACAAAATGACCTGGTGGGGTAGTGTAATGAGATTTATAGGGTAGAAGTTCAACAAATGTACAGTTAGAAATTATATATGTATATATATATATATATATATATATATATATGGTATGGGTATGGCCTGCGTCTACAGAGGGACCATGGGTGACTTGCGCTGCACCATTCACACCCCGATATCCAATGTACACCCAAGGGAATAAGACCAGGAAGCTTGCGGATGGGAGTCATGTTTCATCAATTGAGCCGGCCTACACTCTTTCAACATACACAGCAGCAAAATTCCTATCTGTCTACTGGGGGAATTATGTGTACGAGAAGCATAAAAGGTTGTGGTTAGGTTGTAGCTCGTACCACACAGGATGGAATTCTTCTTTGAGCTTAGCACAGTCACAAGGGCGGTGCATCCCATCTCTCCCAAACAAGACCAACTGTCTTCTGCAGCCGGCATAATGGAGGTAGGGACATTTTTTGACAGGTAAGCACCTTGTCAACATTTGCAAGAAGCGCAGCCACACCGGGGATATCAATCGACAGCCAACACCCAATATGAAATAAATAAACACGCAAATAGACAGTAAATGTGTAACAGTACAACAGATAAGAGAAAATGCAAAACAACTATTTAGCCTGATCTAGTTTAGGGGTGATCCTGAGCAACTGCAAGTGTAGGTCATGGGGATATAAACCTATTAACACCAAAAACAAACAGCGAACTTGGGGACAATTACCAGAACTGAGCAAATAAATAAAATATTGGATTTAGTCAGATCTAGTATGTTGTAGAGCAATTAACGGCTAAAAGCTGAAATGCAAGCACACGCACACAAGTGTATTGATGATGCAGCATGCGTACCACGTCGACTGCATTACTGGCCTGAGTTAGTAAATGGAATGGAATCGGAAGCGGCGTACTTACCAAACACTGTGCTGATGATGTTTATCTATTCGGCTGACTCGTCCTCTCTTAGATGCTTGCCCATCGTGCTAAGCTGGTGGCTTACCAATTCGCCTTAGCTGATGTACTCGCGACCGCATGAGCAACGGAACCATGCGCTTGACGTCGATGGGCTAGACTCCATCGGCACCTGTCACTTGCTCAATCGAGGTTTCGCATCCGCATGCAATAGTGATTTCTTCTGCACCTGGGCAACCTCCTACTTGATACGCTATCGACCTTTGAGCGAATTCACTACCATCGTTTCCCAACACCTAAAAGCAACATCAGTTAGTGATAAACTCAGTTGGTAACGTAGCCTCGGTTTCCCACGTTCTGCTTCTCTGCACGCGGTTGGCCATACAGCAGTTGCTTGGGTATCGGCGTCGAACCCATGCGGATGATATGTCCGAGCCACCTCAGGTGCGGCAGCTGAAGTATGCAGTCCATTGCACACATGCCACTGCTGCGCAGCACTACCGTGTCAGCAACTCGGTCACCCAAACCAATGCGTAGAATACGAAGGATGCACTGTTGATGAAACCATTTCAAATAACAGACGTTATTGAGGTAAAACGTTCAGGCTTCACTGCCGTAAAGAACTGACAACATCATCGACAGGTACACCGTCAGCTTTGTACCAACGGAGGTGGTGATTGTTCCAAACACGTTTTTCCAGACTTCCCAATGAGGCAGCCGCCTTCGAGACGTCGGTGCACAACTCGCTCATCATCTAGAGCTCAGTAGAGAGTACGATCTTAAAGTGGCAAAATCTGGTGATGGTAACCTAAACATTGTTACCAATGTGGATTTGAAGCAGGCCCATGGACTCTATTTCTGGTAGAGGATGAAGAAAACAAACAGTCTTGCTGGTGTTAATGGTGAGCCCGAACTTGGGCCGCTGTCGAAGCGAGAGTCATCGTCATGCGCTGAAACACATCCGCGCTGTGTGCGAACAACGCACAGTAGTCAGCAAACAGCAAAATATGAAAGGTTGTCTCCACACGAGGGTCCTCATCCCGAAACGACGGATGTACAGCAACCCACCATCAATACGGTGCTACACACGGACACCGTAATCATAAGCAGCATCAAAAGCACATCATAGCATTTAGGTAAATGTTCTACAAGGCGGACGCTAGGGCCCAGCCTTACTTCACACAAAAGACAGAAACAAAGTCATGCGAAGTTTTCAAGTTAGATGTGGAGTACCCGCCTTTTGCTTGGATTGCGACACGCAATATCTATTGAGATCTCGATTCACTTTGAAGCAGACCTCGATAATTCCGAGCGTAAGAACCGATCCGAGGTTTACCCACATAGTTGCATAATGGCACGCATATCACTGTGCAGATATTCAAGTATACTTACAAACTTAATCCAAACTTACCCAACATCAGCCACAATGTCTCGCGGTTCACAGTCTTATATACGTGTGCATATGGTTGTAGAGATTAAATGCCGAACAAAATGGACATGTAAATGATCGATGGTAACGGGAAAGGCATAGGAAGAAAACGTAAGTAAAACGGGGAGTATTTGTGAAGTAGTGGCAGCAATAAAAATTGCCTATCATCAGAAAATGCGGAGACCTAAATAATACACCGGTTGTTTTAATAAGTAGACCCAGCAAACCAGAAGCTGCTACCTCTAAATGCCGAGACTAAATTAGGTCGAAATGCATCTGGGAGTGCAATGTTTTTGGGCGAGCAATACCCAATAACTATCTGCTTCACCAGTCAGGGTCCCGGTGAACGAATTTGCCAAGGTCCACTTCGATGGAAATCGCAGTGATTGCGTGTGGAAATCCACCCACCCAACGAGTACGTCAAAATGATCCTCCAAACAGTCGTTAACCGTAGCGCCAAGCATCGCTCGTGGTGATCAGGTGGCTAAAGTGGTAGTAGTCCCAACTAACATCCTAATGGCCCCGGGTTCGATGTCTGCTATCTTCGAGTGTAAGGTTGACCAGCACGCGGTAGTCCTTAGCACGGTTCTGCAAGAACAAAGAGAGAGCGGTGCAGCAAACGACGAGGCGTAATGCGTAAGACATGACCGAACCAAGTTAACTAGCGCAGCAACACCAGCTTGTTCCCCAGCACGTCACTAGACATACACCAAGCATTCGACCCTGTGCCTCACAACCAGTCGCTAAAAGTGGTAGAGGCCGCTGGGATGCGGGACCTATTACAAAGATGCCTATCATCATACCAGTGATCGCCACTAGGCAGTCACTCCAGCCGAATATGGTTCTTTTCCACACCCTATTACTAGTGGGGACATTCAAAGGAGCGTGTTCGGTCTTTCGCTGTTCCTGTTATACATGAATGACGTCACTATGTCCTTAACACATTACTAGCCAAGTTGATTCGCCAATGATATCGATATCAGGCCTGCAAACTTTCTAATGACGAATTTCACGGAACGCTACTGCTCATCCAAGATCACTTATATTTCCTTGAGTTATGGTGTCACATGTGAGTAATGAACCTCTCGGTTAAGAAATTGAGCCATGTCTTACTGCTGTTTCATCCCCAAAGGATCTATTGTAATCAACGATAAACATGTTCCTGTGCAGCTGTTTACGCGCGATTTCGGAATTACATACGCATCGACTTTCAGCTTTTCTGAACAAGAGAAAAACCAAATAGTGTGGGACAGACAAGTTATTAATATATCCGACATAATCCACACAGTTCATGCAAGAGTTTGGCTTTTGAGGCTACTCACCTACCCCATTCTCGAGTGTTGTGGCATAATACATGGGAAAATGAGGTAGTGCAACAGAATGCTTCCGGAATACCTGTACAGCTCGTCTACTAAACATCTGATTTGTGTGCATGCTATCATGAATTGTCGAGAGCGTTGCAAGAAAGTTCCACTCGAAGCACTGTGGATGCGACAAGTTAAGCATGGCTTGTTGCTGCTTTAAAACCTGCCATACAAAAGTATTGCCAACTTCTTGAACTCCGTCACGTCAGCCGACGGTCAACAATCGTAGTGTTCTTGGACATTCGAGCGGCATTTTACTCAGTGCACCAGTCTGTGGTTTTGAACTGTGTACCAAGGAAAGGTGCGCTCGACAAGTTTCTAAGCATCCTGAAGGAACTCTATGGGCACACGTAGGGTAAAGTCAGGGTATACAGCATGCTTTGCTCACCGTTTGCTGTCAACAACGGCGTGCACCAAGGTTGCTCTATTTCCCCTTTCCTAATGAATTTTGCCATCGAAGATGTCGTCCAACGAGCATTGGAAGACGTCCAAAACTGCGATATTGAGCTTGTCCCAAGTGACAGAGCCGCGGACTTGGACTACACCGATGGTTTCGCTTTGCTTGGGGACGATCCACAAGCCGTCCAGAACGCTTTGAACCACTTCAGAATGGATGCGTCTAAGTATGGGTTGTATTTCACCCCAGGCAAATGCAAAATACTACTCCAGGATTGGCAGATGCCTGTGCCTGCCCTCACCATTGATGGTGACGTCAATGAACAAGTCCACCGTTTCACTTATTTTGGAAGTTGCATCACGGCTGGCGGCGATGTTGGAGATGAGATCTCACAAGGGATCGCAAAGGCCCGGCTTGCATTCAGCAGGCTGGGACACCTATGGCGTCGTCGCGATGTCAGTCTCAAGCTGAAGGACACTATGCACACTGCCTCTGTCCATGGGGTCACCTGGTACGACTGTGATACTTGGCCTATTCGCTTGGATAACATGAAGCGATTACCAGTTTTTGACAACCGTTATCTGCGTAGGAGTGCTCGCGTGTGGTGTCAATAGCATGTAAGCAACATAGAAGTTCGAGATCGAGCGCTTGGAGCAAACAGCCCGTGCCTCCAAATCGTTATTCTCTGACACCGCATGCGTTGGCTCGTCCACATATTACGCATGCCAGCCTAGCGCCTTCCCTATCGAGCGTTATCTGCGCCACCTGGAAGCGACTGGAAAAAGTGTCCAGGTGGACAACCAATGAGGTGGAGAAGGGGTATGAAGAAGGCATTCTCAGGGTCAGCATCCGTTGGACCAATCCGCCTTCCAGGATGGGGACCACGCCACTCGGACTGTGTAGTTGGAAACACGGGACCTTATGGCAAAACAGACTTCAGTAGAGTCAGTCTTGTTCAACCGCATCACTTGTTAATGCCAAAGCAAACATGCATATACAAACCCCAAAAAGCTCAAAATGGCGTGTAAAACCAAAAGTGTTTGTTCTGCTGTTGTGCTTCGTTTTCCCTCCTTGTTGCCGTGGTTCCTATGGCACATTGTCTGTACCAAGACTTTTGCCGTGCGAATATGGTCATTTTTGTGTTCAGCTAAAGGTAAATTGCGAATTTGCTGACAACTGTTGCCACATTGTTACAAGACCTCAGTGTGATTGGCAGTTTATCCCATAAGTCGGTATATCTGAGCAAGAATAAATGGAAACGCATGTTCGTTCTGGCCTTTGGTATAACCAGTGTTTAATATTCTTTGCGTAACTCTCGAATTGGCCTAGGTTTCAGGGCTAGTGTAGGCTAATTGGTATATATATATATATATATATATATATATATATATATATATATATATATATATATATATATATATATATACTAACGTCGCACATACGCAGATCGTTCATACGAGAGCATGGTTGATTTTATACATATTGATCTGTGCCGCCACAGATAGTTTATTGGATCGCGATAAATGTACGTTTTATTACTGGTACCATTAATAGCACTTCGATGACGACAACAACACTTATCACCACTACAGTTCTACCACTGCTACGATTACTATTATTACTGCAGTAAATGCTTAGCTAACAGGTATGCAGATGGAATGGGCAGTAGCTTGAAAAAACCGAAACATTCCGGTGTGAGTGGTATGTTAAAGTTAGTAAAAGCCGATTGCATTCGTGAGCTGGCTTGCATGCGGGGTGCAGTGTTTAGACGATCTTCCACATGGCAAATAATGAGATAAAACAGTGGCATGAACTATGAAGGCTTTCATGTAAGGCAACTTTGCAGGGTGACAGGACTGAATATGCGTCTCATTCATGAATAAAGTTGGAGGCAGGATGTAAACACAAGCAGCTTTCCAAGACAATATCGAATCAAGGAACAAGAATTTAGTGTGTTAATGCATTTAGCCGAACATAAGGGGTAGATATACACGTTTTCCTCACAAGATGAATGGCTCGAAAATACGGAGGTGTAGTCCATGGTTTGGTATGCAGCAAAAAGGAAGACTTACGCAATGGACACTTTAACCGACCCAGTCTCATGTTCTGGTATAGACGATACATAATTGCAATGTAGCAAAAGACGACAGCAGTAACATGATGTGGACAAACCCGAGGTCAATAAAGTGGAATGCGAAAAAAGCAAGTGCCAAACAGCGTACTTGGATGAAAAAGTACGTTGCTCTTTAACCGTCGTGTTTGGACGCGTTTTCATTATGATCCATAAATGCGCACTATTATCAAAATTATAAAGGAATGGTCTAAGGAATCCTCAGTACTCGACTCTGAAAGCGACTTCAAATACTAAATGGACTCACGAGGAACATAACTAAGAGAAAGTCAGATGAGAACGAGTGGGCGCGAAGCAAGATCAGGCTGCAACACATGAGCAAGCGATCCTTTAGCGGTTCATTTAGTTAGCTAAGACTAGAGCATCGAAGCAGGGTGAACTCATTTAAATAGGCGGGAACAGGCAGATGAAGCAGCGAAGCTTACTTTTCGATTGCAAGTTGCGGGATTAGAACGATATGGATTTGCAATCAAAATCAAGAAGTAAACCTAGGATCGTTGTGACAAACATTGTTGGCGGAGGTCAATGATCTAAGTGTCGAGCGTCGATCACTGCGTAGCAAGTTTCATTTCCAGTCGCGGCTATCTCTATCTGAGGAGTTTAAATCAGGACGAACCCGGTCCCTGGGTGCAATGTTGGGAGAGGGCAACAATGAAAACACTCCACTACGGGTGCAGGTCGCAGTGATTGGAATGACCGAGGTTTAGCTCAAAGAAAACCGCAGTAGAAATTGTGGCCGCAAGTCGCAATCCAAATACACGATGAGCACTGAAGTGCAACGTTCTATGTTTAACAGCAAACAGACTGGCGCCGCAGCACAGAAGTATATGTCGGAATCGAACCATCAACGCTGGATTGTTAATATGCCCAGTGTACTTGCGAGACGGCTGCTGCCTAGTGAACATTTTACAACTACTGTGCCTAACCGAGTAAGACAAGAATTGACCATCCAACGATAGGGCTAAAACTCCGCAATTCGGCTAAGGAGTAATGCATGCTACGGAATTGTTCCATCTTCGTGGAAAAACGATAGCCTAACGAATTAATGGACGTTAAGTCGCGTATGACGCACTTCCAAATCCTTTTTGCGAACTTTCGGTTTCCATGGAAGTGATTTGCTGTCTGCAAATATATTGGGAAGACCCTGCCCGAGTGCTAAATGGGGAGCAGTGGGAGGAGGCTGAGGTAGAACAGAATCTGTGACGACGCTCCTGTTTAGAATGGGAAGGGGCGTCTCAATGCGGGAGTGAACTGGGTGATTGACTTGTTCGGTAGCGCCGTTTGTATCTCCCGTAACCGGAGATCCGGGACGCGGCGTGGCATATCCGGAGTATTCCGTTCTACCGGCTTCGGTGGCAGATGAAGCAAGTGGTGCCGGAGAAGTAGAAAAGGAATAGATCGCTGAAGAGATTGCAGCAGACTGATATCGTTGTGAATTGAGATTGCAGCGACTATTGGCCAGGATGCCTTGACGAGGAGCCTGGTTACCTAAAATAAAAAGACAGCGTCGACTAGGGACGAGGCGATTCGAAGATAGGAAAGTACAACGCAACTCGAGTGATAAGCCATAGAATGGCAGTAGGCTAAAGGAACAGGGATAAACTATGTAAACTGATAACGGGAAAAGTGCAAAACGCAATCCAAGTAAAGAAGCCAGATACACAATATTATTATATCATGGCGATTTCCCATTGTGAAAGTTGAAGCCCCAAAAGTTGAGCACAAACAATTTAGTGAAGCTGTCGATTAATGAAATGTCAGCGGTTCAGCGTATACAGTCTCCGTAGGATCAGACCACATTCTCTGGCGAAGGGGATCTGCTTCAGAAAAGAAATCCGGAGCAAGCACAGACAACACATTACCGTCACCGACACGACGCCACGTAGTAACTGTTAGGCGTTTAGGTGCTACAAAAGTGTGATGTCATGTCCGTGTTATCGAATGGGTTGATACATATAGCGACCGGTGAGTCATGAGTATGAAGGTAACTTTCGGTACATACAGAATGTTACTTAGGGTTGTGTTCAAATGAAGGTCGTTGGGACACCGCTACCCGATTATGGTGTTACAAAATCCTAGTGAGTTAAACAGGTAGGGTTAAAATATAGTTTGCCAATGAAAGCACATCTATGTACATAGAAACTGCTGGACATCGGATGGTGTGCGAGGTGCGATACCGAGATAGAATGTATCATTGGACACTAAAAGACTCACTTTGTCCGAACATTGCATGTCGATTGTTTGGACGAGCACCACGGGACAACGCTTGATCATTAGAAGCACCTGGTGGACTTGTAGCTCGAATTCGACGGACTACTTGATGTGAATCTTCGAACAGCGGAGGTAAGCCCCAGCGAGCACGAACAAGGTTTTTCTGCGCGCACAAGGTTGTGGTTGGGCCCAAAGTAACCTACGACAAGAGGACCGACCGGTTACTGAAATAGGAGATCTCAACAGACATAAAGACAAGAAGAGTGATGGGGTGCGATGAAAAGCAACTGGAAATATTTAAGTCACGCATGGCAAACACACTAAGAATAGGGATGTTAGCGCACACAAAACCGCAGTGCGCACAGGAGACAATAATATTTACCCTATAGTGGAATATATCGACAACAGGAGAAATGTGGCCAATACAACCCGATCAAGAGTACAAAGGGTAACAATGGCAATAAACAATTTGCAGATCTTCCACAATATTCACGGAACGTACAATGGTAGGGATTGTAGGAAATGGGTGTATAGTGACTGGAACCACAAGGCTGACGGCAGGGTGAAAAAGCGAAAAAAACTGACCAGGAGAACTTTCCATAAAAGTAAGAGAACCTTCTTCATTGGAAAGTGGGGAGCCAAGCCACTACAGAAGCGGTGCACCATATCGAAGAGAACTGCGGTCAACGTTGTGTTGCTATCGTGGACGATGGGTGACGCTAAAGAGTGGCATAAAATAATTAGATGAACGATTGCAGTGTCAGCAGATACGAAAGGCACATTGAGATCAAACTGGCTGGCAAAGTACGAGTTTAAGCATGATTGTTAGCCCGTGCCCGCATTGATCGTTTAGTACTTCACAGGATTGCCTGGGGTTGGACACGCGGTAAATCATGTCTGGGGCATCCGCTGCAGAATAGAAAAGGCAAAAATATATTCCAGTAATAATAATATTATAGTTGTCGTTCTAGCTCCAAGGCGCTCTCCGTCGCATATTAATCGTGCACTGGAGTAGATTAGCTCGGAGTGAGGGAAATGAGTTCCATGCGAGCTAGGTAATTTGGTTGCAAAGGTTTCATCGCCAAGCTAGATAACCTTGTCCCCGAAACTTCCAGAAACGTAAATTACCAAGGCTCTTGAGCCGCTTTCTGTTTCTGGTCAGAAGTTTGGTACACATATTCATCAGCGACTTTTGTGTTGAATGTTAGAGGAACACTTGACTGAGTAGATGCTTTCTTTGCCCCATTGATCTCTATTCAACACAAAGAGTCAACAAATAACGTGAGAGCTAAAGCAAGACCTATGATAGGCAAAAACAAGCAAATCAGTAGTGTCAGCGAGTCAATTTACTAGAGGCTGCGTTAAGCATGTTATTAAGAATGATGACAAAACATTTTCAACAAAATACCTAGTTGGCAGAACGACCCAATCGATTCATCCACCTTCAGAAGTACTAGTATCCTCAATAATCGCTAACTAGCTCAGTTGCACGACCCTATGGAGATTGATACGTAGTGAGTTGAAATGACCGGTGAGTAACGCTGGATAACAAGGAATAACTGTATTGACTACTGGGAAGTCTAGGCAGTTGCTGATGAATTTTTTATTGGAAAGTGAGTTTATGTGGGATAACAGAATCGCTTGGATGGCGTCGGGTGGGGACATCTTAAAAAGGTGTATTTCCCAAAATACCGAGATAATTACTCTGCGGGGGCTAGCCCACACCAGTTGGCGGTGCTCTAAAGACGACGCCCGGCGGTTAAAATCTGAAAGGTGGTTAGTTCCTTTTACGTTTTAGTTTCTGTATCAGGTAGTAAAGTTTCTAGCGCATTTTTTCGTCGTCGACCTGTCACCTGAGGGCATTTTCTTGATTTTAATTGTTCAGAATAGCACTCTTCTTCCAAGTGTTGTGTCGACGTTGATGTGCGATCTACAGTTGGATTTCACTCTGTTATTAATAAGGTAGAACTATTTCAACCGCACCTTACTTGGATTACTACCAAGACGTGCGTCTGAAAGATCCACAACGCGGAAAGTTCAAACAAGCAAGTCACCAAAATGCAAAAGGCCAACAATGCCACAGAATTGGCCACTTCTCGGTCTGACCCATTATCTAGAACGCTGAATACTATGCAAACCACCCGGATAAGTTGGCCTGTCTAAGAGCCGAAAAACTGGATCGTTTACCTACATTAATGTAAACCCCGAGCAATGCAAACGTAAGGCATCTTTTACTTGCCGGAATGCTCACTGATATGGCCGCTGCAGAGGTTTCCAATGGGTTGCACTGCACGAGAAGCGCAGTTGTCCTTAGTGTCTTTGATAAAGTATGACCCTGCGAAATATTTTCTTCAAGACAGACAGTAGATGGTGAGAACAATACAGTATCCTATCATATAAAAGGAAAGACTAGCACCATAACTAACCAATTCTTTACCAGTTTGCTAACCAATGAATATGGTATTGAGCGTGAGTAAACAGTAAAACAACCTTTAGGACACTACAAACTGCAGTTGACAAAAAGATATTGCAGCAAAATGTTGCGCAGACTGCAGTTCTCCATAGTGATACTGAGAAATTGAAACTGACTCAGTCCGAAAGTGCCAAGCCTCGCTCCCATGGGAGTAGGACGGTCGCATTATGGCCTTGCGCACAAGGTTTTTTAGACCCAGTGAAATCCTTCCCTGACGTCAAACCTCTCCAACTACTGCAGGGGGAATATGGTCGCAGAGGGCAGAAGTTCAGTGGTATTGTGCAACTGTTGTCAATTAAGCTTATAATGGCAGAAGGATGTTTAGTCGGGGGTCTACAAGAGAAAGAGGCGGAAAGGAAAGGATATATAGCCCATCTACCTTGCCGTATGCAACAGGGACGGAGAGTAACTGATGTTAATCAAGTACTAAATCAATTCGTTTATATTTGCGCGTGCACATCCAGGGCGTCCAAATCTAGACAGGAGAATGACCAGCATTTGGCTCAAAATTCTGGCCGCAAGGTATCGAGCTGCCAACAATCTGAGTTAACAGAAATGGGAGCCACCCTCATTTCAAAAATACTCCAATCCACAGGAAGTGGAGACTGAATTCGCAATTGGTCAATGTGGCAGAGGTAGCTTCTAAGGAGGCTGAAGGCATCACCTAGTGACGGTGCACGCAAATCGATGCCCTACTTTAAGGTCCAGTCTTGTCACGCCAACCGCACGAAAAAGTTGGGCCCCGAAATAAAATGGGCGCTTGATTATTAATAAGTCATATCGCTTTCAACCAAGCTAATGGAACCATCACGAAGAGTGTGCGGTTTGGCGACTTGCAAAACAGACCTTAAACATTGTGATAATGGATTACTATCCAGTGTCAATTCCTAGTATAGCCAACAAATGCGATATAATCAAACTTCGGTTTGGTACTCATCGATTTCGGCATTTGCAAAACAATCAACAAAAGTGCATCATAAAGGACCGTTCATTCAGATAATGTACTTGAAATGCTAAGGTCCTGCACAACTGGACATCGCCATCACAAAAGGTGGTACATCAGCCATATGAACTACGCTTCGTGTCACACAACCACAACGAGCTACGGCAAGAAGAGTAAAGGTGAAAGAAGGGGGAACTAGCGTAAAAACCTTGAAGTCTTCAAAACAAAAATATTCATGGTCAATGCGCCTACACCTTGTCAACAACATACCATCCGAAACAACTGGCTATCGTGTAAAAATAGGATGACGTGGGAGAGATAGCTCCCATGCGGCTTTCACTGCCCTGCGTCATAATCAGCCATTACCCCGCAGATAGCTCAGCATCAAAAACCCAGTAAATGGGCACTACGACTGGGAGGTGGCAGCAGACACGCCACTGGTGTCGATTGCGAGCCATGTCCTATACCGTCTCGAGCCAAGCACAAGGCGAGTCACATGGACTCCAGCCTGGAAGGCGAGACGGACCGAAGGCAATGAACTTGGTCATCATTTCCCGCTGCCAGGTCAACTTTTGTCCACATCGGGCCTTGCACCACCCTAAATCAAGCAGGCAAAACAGTGCTCTCCTCAGTAAGCGGTGACCAGGCATACGTAGGTGCCCAATCCAACGCATCTTACTCAGTGCTATTTGCTGTTCTAAAGAACTAGCCTGGTTATCACTGCCTGACACGCCTGCACACATCATCATTGCGGACATGCTGTTGCCATTCGACAGAAACTACTTCGCAAACAACGATGATCAAAGACTAGAAGGCGCCTCAGATTCTTAGATCGAAAGGATCGGGTTTCATTCTCATAGAATAGGACGTTCCTCATTGTGATCTTGTAAACAGGGCCTTTCAGATGGACGGAAACATCCTCATGATGTCACAAATACAAGGACAGACAAGATTACGAAATAGGTGAATTAAGTTCAGCAAAGACTTTAACATCGCTGCTGATGCAGCTACGAAGGTAGGTTGGGTGACCAACTAACTCGAGTTCCTTGCTAAGAAGAGTCAATGAATCATCACGCGACTGATGGTCGTGCAACATCACGTTGCACTTTGAAGGTTCAAAGCACACATCTGGTGATGGGACCACCCAAGAGATGATATTTAAAGTTAACTAGACCGCCCCAAGATCGTTAAAAAGCAAGACAATATCGTCCGCATACTGGAGATCAACTTGTTCTTCGCCAGGCAGTACCTCAACGGCTACATCGTGAGACTCCGCAAGGGAACATTTCATGATGGAAGGCATAACGAAAATGAACAAAAAGGGGAAAATTGGACAACCCTGACTAACGCCACTTGTTGTCAGAAAGGCATCCGACAGGTCGCCGTACACCGTGAAGCGGCATGTGGTGTTCGAGTACAGGGCACCTAAAGTGCTCACATATTTCATGGGAACACCTTTCCGCACTAGTATATCGAACATAATAGATAAATCGCATGAGTCAAATGCACCCTTGAAGTCGATGAACACAGATATTGTCGGTCTGATGTACGCCCTGATGATGCCCTAGCAACTGCCGCAGTGAATATGTGGCCTATACAGCCACGACCTGGGGGGAAGCCGGCCTGCTCCTCCCTAATCTGGGATTTTCAATTCGCAGAGATGAAATCACAAACCGCATACCAAAAGCTCGGGGCACTTTTGCAAACCTCCGCTATCTGTGACACCGGCGCGATATCACTTTCGCACAGAAGAACAGGGTTTGTAATGCAGCCGTCTGTTTAGCCCTACCGTACAGTTGCGAAACATGGCCCATCAAGTTGACAGACATAAAGAAGCTACTCACGTTCGATCATCGCTGCCTTCGCAGCTTAGCTCATGTCTGGTTGGAGCACCGCGTGAGCAACGCACGTGTTCGGCGTCGTGTATTTGGTGCAGAAAGAACGAATGAACCGCTCAGCACCATTATATCACGCACCATGATCAGAGGACTACGCCACGTGCTGCGCATGCCAGCCCACCGACTCCTGCGACTTGCGTTGTTTGAGAGCCAGGCGTCTGGATGGAAGAAGAGGAAAGGCCAAGAGATGACTTGGTCAAGAGGTATGAAAACCTTCACCTCAAAGTTGGCAACGGTTGGTGTGTCCCGACCGCGTGGCTGAGGTAAAAAGGACAATGAACACGTTTCGTTGGATATCCTAGTTAACATGGCAAGGAGCCGACCTCAATGGCGTTTGTAATGTGTTTCGTTTTCTCTTCTCATTCCGCTAATCTTCCTCATCCAACCACGATCTACCTCTTGATG